GAATTTTTTTGGGTATTGTGGCGATACAGGACTTTAATGTCAGTGTAAATCGCTTCACGAACCGATATCAACGATTTTGTAACTAATGTCGAGATTCTGTCTGTTTTCGACATAGTACTTTGTACCGACATGCGACAGTTCGAATCGCCACACTCTATGTACCACACAAAGCAAGAGAAGAAAGTAGAAGAAATGCATAATAGAGACAGTAAACAGAGGTGTGAGGCAAAGGAATAGTGATAACGAAGAACAATATAGTTTCATTGCAGATCATAAGTCACCAGGAGTGGATGCATCTGCGCCAGCCATTGAGAACGATTTTGAGCCATATCACCATTTGTCTCCAGCCATTGGTTTTTACCGTCCCGAGGACCCCAACCGGTCAGGAAGTCTACACCTTCCTACGTGGCTTAAACTAACTGTCAGGGAATTCATTGACTGATGATACCATGTTTTGGTTTGACCACCGCTAGCTCTTTTTCGGCCTGACCCTATGTCAGTTAACATCACCTGTCGTCGAGGAAGGCGATGACTAGGCAGGTATGCGTAACACATGTCCCAACCATCTCACTTGGTGTAACTTCACAACCTTGTCTATTGATTTTCCCTCCTTACCTAGCACTTGACGCCTAACCTCAATATTGCTCACTCTACTATACCACTTCACACAGGAGGATAGGACGCAGACACCTTTGATCAAAGGCAGCTAGTCGGCCTTTTCATGTCTTCCACTCTCAATGGTCATGTCTCACAGTCATAAAGGAGGACGGAGCGGACTGATGAGCAGTACACACGCCCTTTAGTCGACAGCCAGCTGGATATCGCGTCTACGCCAGAGACGGCGTAAACTGGCATATGCGTATAACTACTGGGTATAACTGAATTGTTAAACGAAGATGAACAGGTTGACTTGTAATCAATACGTCACTCCATTGTCATATTAGTAAATATTCACCCAACCGGTTTCCACTTTCTATACACACATTTAACAACAATAAAGGTGCAATAGGACAAATGACAGCATAGTGATATAAATAATCACTTTCGAAAAGAAAGTTCTATAGCTGTATCAAAGATCAGATTGGCATAGTCAACAATTGTGAAACAATCAAATGAGAACGAATTTAGTTATCACAAAAACATACTTATTAGATACATATATAATAAAATCAATAAGTCGGTGAAATGAAGCGACAGTTCAAATTAATATTTCATACTTTAACTTCCTATTTTCATGGTTCATTGAGACAAAAAATATGCATGAATAGAGTATAAATACATTTAACAACCTGGAATACATTTAGCCTAACTTTATGAACAAGACAATAGTTATAAAAAACTAGTAATCAATATTCGAGATTTTATATACTCAAAAGATTAGTCAAAACTTTCTGAAATCAAAACTTAGCATATTATTTTACTGAGTCGCAATTCAATTCACACTATCTAAACAAACGATTTATATATATTTCTATATTTATACGTCAGCTTTTCAAATTGAAGTATGCGTTGAAGATGTTGCCCAGTAAGGCGATGAGAGCTTCGCAAATAAACTATCCAGCGTAGAGAACACAACTACATCAAAATCATCCACCTGAGCAACATATCTTCTTCAACATACCCAAATCATCTTTGTTTACTGAATCAACTAAAAGACATAGCGGGGTATGTGTTTCGTTAACAGTAGGATTTAAGATGTAAGTTTCGACAAACAGATGTACTTGCATTTCACTAGATGACAGTGTCCGCCTTAAGATTAGAATCTATCAAAAACTTATTTCAATTTTCAAAGAAGATTTCTATTGGACCACTGGTAGACGACGAAAACTATCTTTCGTGAGACGAATACGATTCGATATGAGTTGTATACAGATAAGCCGGTCATTTCTGTGCAAAAATATTAACAAAGAGTTAAAAGTGCACAATAAAATAACAAAAATAAGCAAATAAACATCTATGTGTATATACCAGTTTGACTGCAGCTGCGAAGCCAGCTACATTGGGCGTACAATTAGGCAAGTTCATCGTCGTATTTCCGAACATCATCCGTGGTTAAGCAAGGGACAAAAAAGATCTATTCGTAGTTCTATTTCAGCCCACCTCGTTGATACTGAGCATAAGATTGATGTGAATATTGCATTTAAAATTATTTATCGCATTCCTACTAATCTTAATTTTGCTCTGCAAGTTCGTCTTCTACAGACAGCTGAAGCAATCGGAATTCACCGGAAGAAGCCAAGCCTATGTGTACAGAAAAAATTTGTACAGCTACTTTCCCTACTGTGGCCATCGTCACAAGAATGCATAAACAGGACTACGTCTCCCCCCTCCTCCTAAACCTATAAAAATTATATTTGTCTAAATTATTTATTTTATTTTACTTATTTTGACCACTTTATCTTTAATTTACGTGTTATCCTTGTAAAATTAATTTATTCTATCCATTTCTACTTTTTAAATGTGTATTGATTTTCTTCGTTAATTATTATTAACCCATTGACATTTTGACACTGTTTAATTATTGCTAACAAACTTATCGCCACTTGATTAGTAAACTGTTGTGTATTGTAATAAAAGTGCTATGTATATTAGAGTAGAGCCAGAGATGAGGATCTAATTGAAAAGTAAATATTTCTTCGCTCATTCTTTCTGTTTTCTAAAAAGAAAGACATTTTTGTTAATGAAACGGTCATTTTTATCCTACTACAAAATCTGCATTTTAATAAATACACGTTCCAACTAATCATATTGTTAAACTAGCTAGTTAGAACTCCCTCACCTAGAACAGAATTCTCATGTACCAGAAAATTAGATACAATTATTTTTTGGGGACGAATGATTCTGCTCAGGATGGAGTGGGTGGACTTCGATATATGCCCAGGGCGAATTGGTTGAAAAGCGAATTCTATAACCGATGAACTATATTTCTACTAGCAATATCAGTAATCTGGAAATAATAGCCATTATCGGTCAAAGTGACAACCATTTTAATGCCTTTCCTTTTAAATTAACTTGACTGTTAATAAATATTACCCAAACTGTTTATTCATTAAAATTAATATATTTTAGCAAACCAGCTGTGGTATACGAACCAAGTAAATGGGATCCTTGTGTTTCGATACAGTGCAAACATATCCATTGATTTGACTAGATAAAACATTAAAATCTACAATGTTTTTTACACAGTTCCGTAACCCAAAAATAACATGTAAGTAAAAGGAAGTACCTCTCTGGGTACCATAGTTACACCTTTATTTTCTTATAGAAACCGATAATAATGAAAACATTACTCGGAGCTGCCTTGTTTGATCTAGACAATGTTTTTATCATCATAACATGTACGTCACTAATTTCGAACTAGTTAGTAAGATAAATTTTTTTTTATTCCTTTACGTTGCCGACTGAACATAGAGCTTCATGTTAGAGCTTCGAAGTTTCGGTAACAGTGGTATTTATTTTTACGGGATGGGTTTGCTAGCCTCATACTCAACCTTTCCTCTTTACCAATCTTATTACTGGCTTAGAGATGTAAAGGAGAGCATCGGACGGGGATCAAACCTCAGACCACATGCGTGATTGGCGAGCATTTTACCGCTGTGCCACCGACACCTAAGATAAATCCTAGTCTGAAAAATTTCTGTGCATATGCAGTGATCCAACGTCAACGTAAAATCAGATGATTTTTGAATATTTAGAAGTCATTATTAGTTTAATGAGGTGCCGAATATGGAAAACTGTAAAAATGGCTGAAATATGATAGTGACATTAAACAGAAACCATACATGTGTACCACGCAGGTACAATCAATGAAGAGTTGAGAGGATGTTAAGTACCTTCTGCACTCAATTTTTTTTAAAACAATACAAATGATACACATAAACAGTAAAACACACCAGGGACTGAAGAAACACTGTACAGTGTGACTACACTCGTGGATGAGACACTTCAGGAAACAGTTTGACTGGTAGAAAAACAGTGTTTAATATACTATGACCGATTCGATTGAATAGAATGGAAACCCACTGCTTTATGCACTCGACATTTGGTCAATGAGTCCAAGGTTTGAATCCCACTCCATCCACTTCAGCCTAGGCGACTAAGTGGAATCATCAGATCTCATAAAATGAGTGTAGCTCATAGCTTGGTTCATAAGAATTCTGATCCAGGTAACAGAGATCTAACAACTACTTAGCATATTGTATTGAGAGTTAAGTAGTAGCTTTTGATGTATTCACCTTATTGCACTTAACAAACAAAGTTTTAATCACAAAATATCCATAAAAATTACTAAAAAAAAGGATGGTAAGCATGATTGCAGCAGCCACCAAAACATTAATCTTTGATACTCTGATATTTAGTCTAACTGAAGGACATTAAAAACATTCTGCATACGTACTGCTATAAAACGGTTCATCAAATAGTCCATTTCAGCTTGCTATCATTAGTAAATGGAAGGAATACATACCTATGTCTAACATGACCTTTCATTTAGAATCATATGCGCACATTGATTGTTTCGGTTCACATTAAATACATGTGAATGCAGCTTTTGAAGAATAAGTCCCTTAGTATCCTAGATAACTTAAACAAATTTATTTGGACATAAAATAAATATTGTCCGATGATGTTAATTTAAAACTTAATATCGTATGCACTTTGGATGAAGATCTGGGACTCCACCATGTGTTGTAAACATACAACCAACAATATAACATTCCATTAATAATTATTAAGTATAATAAAGAGTATCATGAGAACAATTAATGATATTGAGTTGCCTATATCTATTCGACACAATCATTAGAAAATATTGAAAGAAAATACAGAAAAAACAAGGGGGCTTCCCAGACTGATCTTAACAAAATGATTCATTTAATTGTCAATTTGAATCACAAGTACAGATATTGTGGTGAACAGCAAGTACATAATAAATATAGTGAATACAAATATAATCGCAGTTTGAAAAAGCTCATAATCGCAGATAAACTAAAACAACATACTTCATGCTTTTCCTGATATTCAGACATATCAATACGTATAAATCCTTTTTTGACATCTTTGTGTAGATATGCAGCAACTTGTTTAGCCAACTCTGTTTTACCTATGCCAGACGAGCCAAGAAAAAGGAACACAAGTGGGTGGTCTTCATCATACCAGCCGTTTTCTTTGCGTCGAATAGCTGAAATTAAAAACGAAAAAGAAACACATTAAGGTGAAATAAAATTACGAAGTTGTATTCATTGTGTGAATGAATCATATTCCACCAGGTTTATGGAAAATAGTTTTAAAATAAAGCTGGTGTAAGATACAATCAAATAAAACTTTATCTAAATATGCTTGAAAGTTTTAGACACTAGAATAGAAGCAACCACAAACGAAGCCAATGACTTGTAATCTGCTCTTCAACATAATTATACAATACCTGGACAATAAATATTAACTTCGTGCTATTGACTTCAGTGAAATTCAGTCCGTAAATTAAAAAGTACCATAGGGAAATTAATGCACATTATCAAAGTTCGATGAGAACTACTCTAATTTTCTTAGCTACTTACGTAATTACGTCGTATTATGTTAAGTAGGTAATGTACACTTTTCGAATGCCATCTGTCAATAGATGTGATATTTAAAAAAATAAACAATGATGAATAGGCAGTTTTCCTACTCAGAGATATAAAACTTAATTATTGATTAAATATCTTACTTGAAAGCAATCTACGACGCTAGAAATGTACAACTCCAGTCCCTGACTCTAATATCTGCAACACAAAATTTCGTATTCGGTGCGATTAAAAAGTATCCGTAACGTTTAAAGGGCCCGCTTAATAACCACAATGAAAAAAATTCCTCAGTGAAACAGAGTCAATTAGATTTACTGTATGAGAAAAGAATATCATCTCGCCATTCAAAGAGGAACCGGTAAAGTCAGCGTAGAAAACCCTAAACGCAAATACCACAATTTACTTGGTCATAAGAATTAAAGATCAGTAATAAGGTTATCATGCTACATTATTGTACAATTTGTTTGAAGTAAGATAGATCGACAAGAGTTGGTTTGCATGGATTTGATTTGTTTTCCAGATTAGCCAGATTGATATCAGTTAGAGGACCGTTGAAAACCATGGAGCAGTGGGCAGCCATTTGATCCTAGTTTTGAACTAATCGGCACCCACTAGGGTTCAAACCTAGGACCTTTCGGTTACAAGGAGAGCAAGTAGACCATTCAGCAACTAGGACCCGACTCAATAGCCCATAAATTCTAACTTTTTCCAGTGGCTGAATGGTCTACGAGCTCTCCTTGTAACTGAGAGGTACCAGGTTCGAACCCTAGTGGGTGCGTACTGCCAATGAGTCCCAAACTAGGACGAAACAGCTTCCCAGTGCTCCCTGGTTTCTAATGGTTCTCTAACTGATATCAATTCATGATCGAACTTTAAGCGGGCATGCAAAAACACTAATTTTACCATTGCTCTACAACAGCCTGCAACAAATATCCAGCATGATGTATCAATAACTATTTTCTGAAGATAAATTATTACAATGGATGAAAATCTGATGACAAAGGGATATGATGCTAAGCAACAAATAGAAATTTTGGCACAATCCACCTTATACTACTGTTTTAATTTAAAGTAGCACGTGTGAACCGATAACACTTCATAGATCTCCAGCCTACACAAGTTATCTGAAACTTAAGTTTTAGAAGACTTAACTACAATTTTGGGGATCAAATAAAAACCTTCTATTACTTTTAAAATATGAACATAAATGTATCTTCATGTTCAATACGTATGTTCCTATAATCACTCAAAATATGTGTTAAGATAAACTTATAGGTGTTTATTGCACTCAGTTTATCGCTTTGTGTCAGTCAGTACACCAAAATTTGTGTTGTAAACTGTACACAAAAATAACGATGTATATTAGAGCTTACTTCAAGCATGAGTATTTGATATGGACTATATCCATTTTGGCTAATACACACCAGTGTGATAAAAGAACCGGAAAAAAGGCGTCTCATCACCCAACAAGGTAGTACCTCAGACAACATAATTCTAGTTATTGAATTGAATTTTTGATTTTCCCGTCGATTAATTGGACCGAAGTGTTCGGTCTCAGGTTGAAATGTCGGCTTCTTGTGCAGATGCTTCGACGATGTCTGGGGATTTGATTTGTATACAATTGGTGGATGGTGGCTAGCAGTGGAATCCAGGATAAAGCGCATTACGTCCTATTTGGGACTCGTCATCTGGATGTACCTGCATTTCTCAGTGAGTGATGATGTTCCCACCGAGGCTCGAACCCAGTACCCATAGTTTCAAACGCCAAAGCGTTATCTACTAGACCACTTGGGCCACGAGAGCCACCTCTTGTGCAACGGGTCATATTAATTATTGAATTGAATTTTTGATTTTCCCGTCGATTGATTGAACCGAATTGTATACAAATCAAATCCCCAGACATCGTCGAAGCATCTGCACAAGAAGCCGACATGTCAACCTGAGACCGAACACTTCGGTCCAATTAATAGACGGGAAAATCAAAAATTCAATTCAATAATTAATATGACCCGTTGCACAAGAGGTGGCTCTCGTGGCCCAAGTGGTCTAGTGGATAACGCTTTGGCGTTTGAAACTATGGGTACTGGGTTCGAGCCTCGGTGGGAACATCATCACTCACTGAGAAATGCAGGTACATCCAGCTGACGAGTCCCAAATAGGACGAAATGCGCTTTATCCTGGATTCCACTGCTAGCCACCATCCACCAATTGTAAACATAATTCTAGCTTTAAGTGAATACTTAACAATAAAGCAAGTAACCTAAACTTACATTCGAGATCTCAAAGAGTGAAAACATCTGCACTATGGAGGACGATTTGGAGTCATACTACTAACAGCATATATATATATATATATATATATATATACGTACTATAATCGTCTATTCCTTATACAAGTTTTAAGTCATTCATTTGTATAACCACCTCAGTAGTTATGTTTTTGAATATAATCGAGGAAAAAATTCTGGAAACCATACAAAAGAATGAAAGTAAGCATTGTGTGGTGTGCTTTATTCCGAGAGAATCAAATCAGCGAATATATCGGCATCAATTAGAATTATTTTCATGATTGTCTATGAAAACCTTTAATTCTTGTTGTCGGTTATTCTACTCAATTATCGAGTCTTAAACTAGCAGATGATACAGTCGAAAAGATTAAGATGTGGTCAGCGCGAAGGCTGGCATTAGTCCATGAAATCCTTGACAGTCGGCTTGAGCCACATAGGTAGATGGAGACTGCTTGGTTGCCGTCCTCAGGATACTAATAACTAATAGCTAGAGACTAATACTGGTATGCCTAAATTTCATCCCCCAAGGTGCAGATGCTTTCACTCTTTGTGATCTCTCATGTCTATTTGCCATAAATGTGTATGTGATTGTAGCGACAAAGGAAGAATACAAACCAATTTATCTTTAGAAAAAGAAAGACTGACCTGCACTAACAGTGCGAATAGCAGCTTCTTGACCAACAATAACTTTATGCAAGCGACTCTCTAGTGGCTGAAGACGCCTCTCCTCTCGTTCTTTAGCAGCCACTTCTTTCGCTTTCTGAAAGAGTCAATCAGTAATAGAATATAGGTCATTCAGTTATCCTAAGAGTTCTTATTTTTCTAAACTGCAATTTACATAACACATCGAACAAATATATATATATATATATGAATTTGAAGACCAGTAGCTAAATGTTATGTCCGCGCCGCTGATTGTTACAACGGTAATGAACTCAAATGGTACGCCAATGTGCCTATTCGTCCGTTGTATCTTCCGCTTCACTGAGTCATGCAAATATCAAAAGACAAGGGGTGACCTGTGAATGTAAGATACCGTATATTTTATTAGCAAACAACACATCCTATTTATACATTTTCTTTACCACAGTAAAGACGGCTCCCAACCGTAGAAATGAATTATGCTTATTAGCTGACAATAGCTATTCTGGTTGGTTGGCGATCCGACAAAGACCAAGGTGAGACAGAAGATGATGAATTGATCACACAATAAATCACAATATGCGTGAGAAAAGATGACATGAATCTGGTTATAAAATATCATAAACAAATTCTATTAACACATTACCCGACTTCAGAACTTAATTATAAGTAGAATAACTAGTTATCACGATATTGATTGCGATAAAAACCAATGAAGTGGACAATTTATTAATAAAATGACTAGTTTGTATAAGACTCGATAGTTATACATCCACCAGTAGACATTCAAATCAGTGGTTAGAGCCCATTTACCTGGAATATATTTCTCATGGGTCAGGTTACCAGTCTCATTTATTGTGTGAGGGTTGGTGACACTACACAGATTATTAAGCTGTAGTAGATGAAGCCGGATTCGAACTTGGAACCCGTCGACTGAAATTCGACAGCCTTAGTCAATGAACCACATACCTATCAGTATTGATTAAATTGCACTTGGTTCAGTGTAGGAGCAGTAATAAGAATGAGTGGTGATCGTGGACAAAAGATGTTGGGGATAGTTTTTATTATGTTGAATTCGCCTGCGTTCTCGATAGAACGCAGGACTTCAGTCTTGAGCTTTAAAATTAAAGTAGAGGAGATTCGTCCTTTACGGGGTGAGTTTGTTAGCCTCACTCCCAACTTTCCCTCTTCCCCTGGCTTATTAAAGGATAAGCCAGGTTTAGAAGTGTATCAGCGGGAAACCGAAACCCGGACCACATGCGTAGTTGGCGAGCATTCTACTAGGGTGAGAGCTGTCAGCAAGACAAAATTGTAGACAACAAATGACGCCAGTGTTTACGCCCCAAATTGGGGTCATGAGAAAGACAGGAACAAAGCCTAACCTTCAGGAACTCAACAACTAATCACAACAGACTCAGCGTGGGAGGATACGATTCGCAGATATATCACCAGACTTTTTAAGAAACGGCAACAAGAGGTGACAGAATAACCTTCTGCTAACAATAATAAATGATAATGTACATAAAATTATATATGTCCAAACCAAGTTCACTTTTAACGGTTTGGAAAAATTTGGGCGTTGGGTATATGATATTCATTATAATAAAGGTTTTTGTATTTCCGAATGAATGAAAAACAACCATTTCTAGACTGCCTAGTTAAGAGAAAGGAAAACAGACATTTTAGTATATCCATATTCAGGAAGAAAACCCACTCCAATAAATATTTAGACTTCAAAATAATCATCACACCACCATCATCGCATAGATTTCAGTTGTTTCAAGTCTTCTTAGACGAGCACACTCTCTGATAACGGATGAGCAAGAAAAAGAAGAAGAAATATCAAACATTACTGAAACTCTCAAGCAAAACAACTCCCCAATGAACTTCATCAACAAAATCAACAAAAACATTAAGTATGGCCGAAAACGCATTCCGAAAACATGGACATCAACAGTCGTCATTCCATATAGAGCAGAGACGTCAGACGATATCAGAAGAGTACTCAATCAGCTCGACATTAGATTTTTCTTCAAAACATCAGGCACACTTCAAAGCAACCTTGTCCATATAAAAGACCAAATCCCGAAAGATTCTCTGTCTAAATGCGTCTATAAAATAAAATGCTTGGAATGTGATGCGATATACATCGGACAAACATCTTGAGAAACCGAAAACGGAAGAAATGAACACCGTAGAGCATCTGTTAGACCACCGAGAAATCCGGTCAAACTAGAAAAACTTCAAAAATCATAAGCCATAGGTCTACACACTATAGAATCAGGCCAAAAAGTTGATTTTGACAATATTGAAATAATCCAGGTGTTATGTACTGGTCGAGAATTTAATAGTCCTGACGCAAGAAAGACGGAAATCAGAAGACCACTAGGTTTGCGATGATACTTCTACTTTCCAAACACAAGGAGAATCAAAGTCACACAAGAGTGTGAGAGCAAAATATAAAAGAATGTCCGAACAAGTGTGTGAGCGAATATTCAAAATGAACAAATCAATAGACAGTCTTAACATGATTGGCTAATTATGATGGAATATCGATCCGTATATACCTAGCAAATATAACAGACATGTCAAACAAACACACATATTATATATAATATAAGGGGAATATACATTGTTAAAGGAGACAAGTTCATCAAAGTGAAATGGTCACAGACTAAGGGAGCAACAGAAAGAGAGACCACCATACATATATATAAATATATATGGATACATATCACCAGGAAAACTTCAGAAATCACACAGAACGTCTAATATTAGAAGCCGGCATTTCATATCAGATGGAATCCAAATTGCCTGAATAGGAATGATGGACTAAAACAGAACCTGACCTGGTTACAACACCTCCCTCCCTCATGAAGTGACAAAATCAGCACAAATGTGATAAGCAGGTTCACTATGTAAACACACACTACTTTTATGATTTTACACAGTGATTAAAATCCAACAACCTACACTTGATTTCGCTATCTTTACCAATCGACCAACTTGACAACAAAAAATGACCCCAGACAGACGAACGATGATCAAGTTAGTAAACTTTATTTTGATATCATAACAGATGTACTATTACCTTTGTTATTTGGTTTAGTGATCTTCATTACTATTCTGACTTTCTATACATCCTTTTAACTTGACCTAAGTCTATTTTTTCACCCCTTAACTCTTTGTTATATATATGCTGAGTGGATTTTGTAAATTCCGGTTTAGTAATACTCTGATAAAGCTATTAGCATTAGATAGCGAAACGTCAGTAAAAACAATATCGTTTCGTTTTTCATTCATTGGGAAATACAAAAACCTTTATTATAATGTACATAAAAATCTATAAATACCTGTTGATTTTCTTAATAAATGATCTGTTGCCTGGTCCTTGTCTTCTGTCACTACACTACTACTACTTCCCGGTGATAATAGGCGAACATTCAATGAGAAAGATTTTAGGTACATGTGACAGTTTAAATGTAGCTGTATTTATTATTCAAAAGGCAATTTCAATGAACAGGAAATTCGCATACTGAGACATGCTCAAAAGATGTAAGAGCGGATAAAATCTTATTTTTGACGAGTCATTTTCAAGAGTTGCGCGATCTTATTTATACTAAACAGACAATTCAGAAAACCTGTCAGATACTGGTAACTATGTTCTAGAAAATGTATCACTCAATAAGAGGTTTAATCTAACCAGAAGAGAAAGAAAGAACACCTTGTCAACTCCAGGCATTGTTCGCTACCTCAAGATTGCTTCACAGTGCTACACAGTTTTCCAATAACGTAAGAAACGGCCATCAATACACAGCCAAATCACTGGTTTTTTCGCGACCTTGAACCGGACCTCCGTATTTAAAAGCGCTACATACACTTACTCGCCTTACTGTAGCCAGAGTAACATTCTGACCATAACTTTGTTACATCTTATTGTTTCAGTCTATTATTATTTTACAAGTACAACTACTATTACTGCTATTGTTTATACATATTTCACATTATTACTTTAATCGATCTAAATAAACGAAAGCTAATGGAAAGACGGTAATCGTTTTTCACACTAACTGCGTAATAGCGACTCCCATCTATCTCCATTTAGTCACATCCTCCTAGATTACGCCTCACATTATGTAATACATCCTCTAGGACGTGGTTACCAGTATCAGATCGGTTTTATGAATCCTCTGTTAAATATAGATACGATCGCACAGCTCATGAAAATGATACGTCAAAAAAGAGAACTCCCTCCTCTGTTACCTCTTCTTTTGTTTGACTCAAAAGACAATTGTCGGTTGTAAATACGAAGCGAATAGGTATATGTCGATTCAAAAATCTGACAAAAGCGTTGAATAAATTTTCGACTACCCTTCGTCTTTGCTGAACTTGAGATACAGGGAACGAAAGATGACTGACACTTAATACTAACAACTAAACCGAGTGGAGTTAGTTGGTGACAGTATTCAAACTCTTTTCCTAGAACAGACATTACAACTGAAACTGTGAAAAATCCGTTATGATAATCACGGCAAAAATCGTCTTAAATGTATGTACGTCTGAAAATTTCAGATTACATAGGCAGTTAAAACTTGACTATCAGTTTGGAGCAGAGGATCTGAAACTAATTCAAATATAAACATACAGATTATTCTAAATAATGCACAAATAAAAAATGTCAATTGATGTTCAACTTCCACGGGGGAATGGAGCTTTCAGTAATGTATTCTGGTGGTTCTATTTCTTCCGCAGTGGCTAGTAGTAAAATCCAGGTTGAGTGTTTCATCACTTTTTCGATGTCTGTGCTTGCATATCGCAGCTACTTGACCAAAAAGCAGATAATGCCAACTAAAGTGATGTTAAGAGAAAAAGTGAGACTCGTTCGGGGAGTCTATAGGCTAACAGAGGCCAATCAATTTAGCCAGAATAAATCCGCAAATTGACAACGGTAAATTATAAGTACGATGGAAAAGGCATCGGCGATTGGCAACACAAGAAAACTATTTAGGCTTATCAGGGAAACAGATGATAAAAGGCAAATTATAAGTGAAACAATTTCTGAGAAAAATGGCACCATAATTAGCTCTCAGGATAGACGACTGGAACGCTGGAAAGAGC